TACAGGCTATTGGGGAAAAAGTTATGCCAAGATTAACAGTTAACTTTACAGGATTGCTCTCCTGCATTTGCTGGTTGGGCATAGCTATGATTCCTAGCCAATTCCTGTAATAGAGAAACTATTTTACCCTCACATATGTGCATGCCTTTGTTTCATACATTAAGCAGAAAGGCAGAATTAAAACAGTTTCAGTAAGATAAAACTAAATAGCTGTATGAGCACACTGGTCTCCCTTATTGGTACAGATGTAAGGGTACAATATAATGCGCAGCCTTGGACTTTATGCCAAATACATAACCTATTACAACACAAGTCTCCTGCTTTGAGATTTTCTATATTCTGGCATTTAAAAAAATACGACCTGCTCCTTGCACCTATGGCACTGAAGCCAAATTTTACTGGAGTGGAGACTTCCAGTCTTCACCAGATTCCAGAAAACTGTTCTTCTAGCATGCAAAACCAACTCTGATCAGTGAAATAGTTACCTTGTGTAGAAGTTCTCTTGCCTCCAGGGTCATTGTCCTCTCCAGCCTGCAAGTCTTGGCTGTCATCCCAAGACCTCTTCAGATTATCAGGTATTGCTGGGCCCCAGTTCAGAGAGGGCAATGGAGATGGAACTCTCCTCCCCATCCTGCTGGTCCCTCAACAGCCCACTTTCATGTGTCTGGATGTTGTCCACCATTATCTCAGCCTCCATAGGTGTGCAATTGTTCAGACAAAGACATACACCAGGATGTTACAGTTTACACAGCCTACCTAAGGTAGATATTTATAAGCACATGGATCATTGCCTTAGGCCAGCTGGCAGCACATGTATACAATGTTGTCTTCTGAGACATTCTGAGGTGGACTTGTTAACACACAGCAGTCGCAAAGAAGTCAATACTATTCATAAATAGTGCACACTGAGATCTAGAGGGTGTGAAGAGCTATTTGTACAAGTGAAGGATTTCAGAAATCTTGCCCTTGGACCAGAAGATAGATAAGCTGAGCTACATAAGTAGTGCCCATACACTGAGGATGGTAGTGGAAGGACTAATTATATCAGTGAAATGCTTATATTAGTCCCTGCTGTCTATGCTGGCACTGAGCCTGCTAGTGCCAATCAACATAGTGACAGATGTCACTGCTGTTGGTCTTTTCAGAGTAAGTGCAGCACACCCATGCAGATACGGTATGTTTCAGGTTCCAACAGCAGTTAGCATGTCAAATTTCACTAATTTAGACAAGGCCTAAGGTAATTCACTTTGCAAATCTCTCTATGATTAATGTTAGCACAGGTACCAAATGCTGTTCTTTTATAATGCAACATGGACCGGTACCCTCCACTCCTTTGACTTATGTCAAGCAACAATCAGATTTTGCCACTACAGACTTGCAAAAGATCTGAACTACAGACTAAGCAATAAGAGCCTCCATACTCCATTACCATTTCCCTTTTCCATACAGATAAAATGCAGTTTCCAAGAAGAATAAAAGGATTTATTTTAAAAGTATTTTAAAGGATACTATCAACTTGCATTTTTAAATGGAATAGTATTTGTAAAATTCCTGTCTGATTGAGTGTCCTTTAAACAGTATGCCCTATTTTAATTTTTAAAAGAAAATTTATAATATTTTTCTGCATCTCTGTTGATGTTTATAAAGGATCTTTACACAGGGGGAGAAAATGACTGATTATACAAGAAAAATCAACAAAAGTGCCATATGAAAATCACTGTGTACTAAAAAACCTGAAACACTTTTACCAGTATCTTTCAATCATAGTAACAATGGGTATTACTTGAAAACTGTGTACCAAGCATACTTTTAATTAGAAGTGTGAACTCTAATGTCCCTTTAAGAAAGGTGCTTGATCCCTATAAGCAGGGTGCATGTAACCTGTGGCACAATGGAACAAAATTCTGCAGGTAAGACTCCTAAATTCTGGGGGAATATTAATCTGTTTGTTTTATCTCCTCAGGCCTCAGCTGCTGCTGTATTCTCATCTAAGCAGCCTAGCTGGCCAGCCTGCAGTATTGGCTCCTTTCACTCCCCGGCTGCAAACTGACCTCAAGCTCTGGCTCCTTGGCAGCTGTTGACATGTCCCAGCAAGGCAGGGAGACAAAACAAAACATTGGGTGCCCAGTAGCAGAAAAAGTACTGAATTCTGTTGGATCTTGGAAAAATGCTAGATTCTACAGCCGCACAATCAGTCTATGAGGTTCTAAATTAGATGATTTGGGATGTTCACATCTCTCAGGACCATTGTTTCAGGTTCAGATATTGGTTTGCACAGTTCACATTCTCAAAGTCATGTTTGAAACCATAAGGGCTAGAAAAAAAAAAGTAAGTAAATTGAGATCCTGGAGCACAATTCTGTTGGAAGGGCTGAATTCCACAACAAATTTCACAGTCACAGAATCCATAAGGACCTACCTATAGGCTCAGCTTCTAAATGCATCTTAGAATTAGACTATCTAGTCTCTCATAATGAGAGATTAGATATTGTACACATTTGCATGATCTGAGCTTTCTAAATTTTCTCCATCCCTTTAAAAGATGAACTACTTTTATTCTTTGGTTACCCTCCCCCTTTCCCAAGCTGTCTTTTAAACACAATCTGCTTTTCCTGACTCCAATTCCCTTCTATGGCAATCTGGATGCTGCATCAGATTGGTTGTGCCGACTTCCTCGGAGGCCTGATCTACACTTAACAGTTAGGTCAACACAGCTACAATGGAGGGGAAAAAAACCCAGATCCCTGACCAATCTAGTTATGCTGACCTAATACCCAGTCTAGACACAGCTATGCTGAAGGAAGACTGCTTCTGTTGATGTAACTACCACTGTTTGGGGGGAAATGGTATTCCTACACCAAACAAAACAAACCACCTTCTGTCTGCATAGACTGCATCTACATGGCAATTTAAAAAAAAAAAAAGACACCACACACATCTGTGGGCTGGCCCATGCCGGATGACTTGGGCTCACAGGGCTCAGGCTATGGAACTGTTTAAACGTAAGGTGGGAGGGTCCCAGAGCCTTAGACTGCAGCCCAAGCCCAAACATCTACATTGCAATTAAACCATGCATTTAAACAACCCTATAGCCCAAAGCCTGTGCCAGCTGACTGGGGCTCGCAGGGCAGCAGCAGGTGTTTAACTGCAGTGTAGACATACTGGCGTAAGGCGTTATCCTGGTATAGTCTCCATTGTGTAGTCATATCTTGATACCCAGAATTCTTACCCATTCTCACACCCTACTATCCCTGACCTGAGAAACAGGAGGCTAGGCTTTAATTATAAAACTCACATTTCACTGCTGGCACTTTTCTAATTGGACTCACTTTCCTTTCCTACTCACTTCAGACTACATTAAGAAAATTGAGGCAAATGAGTTTTAGCACAAAGCTTTCTTCTTTTAAATGTTGAAGTCCGGAAGAAAAAAGTGGAATGGAGGGTATATAAACTTCTCTCCCCCTCCATCCCAGTTTTGGTACCAAATAATCCTGAAGTCAAGAAAGCCAGACCACTGCCAACTCCTTCAGAGATCCATGTGGCCTCTCTACACAGCAAGAATATTCTTAAGGGCTTGCTCCTCAGTGGGACTCTTACTACATTAGCTAAAACTTATTTTAGTAAGGCAGGGTAACAGCATTGGTAATTTAAGCAAGAAGCATTGTCACTGATCTCTCTTTTAAATGACATTCCAAAAGCTACAGATTTCATTACAATGGGAATAGACGACTGTGTGTGCAGCTTGTGAAGTTATAGCACTGGGATTCCTCAGGAACCCAACATTCATTTGAAGCTATTTATTCTTGCAAGTACATATTTCTATATAAAATATTTCAGTTTAGTAACAGCAGATTTAAGAAAGTATGTGATTGGAGGTGTCCGACACTAGCATTTCTTCAGTGTTTACTAAAATGAAGTTTGTTTGGGATTTTAGGAATACGCACTGTATGACAGTAAGCCTACATATACAAATCCTGCATATCTCACAGTCCAATATCAGGTATATGATGAAGAATTTTTGAAAAAAAAATTTCACACGCTCAGAGGACTGGTCTACACACCTAAAATGCAGGTTGACACAGCTTTGACACTCAGGGTTGTGAAAAATCTACACCTCCAGAGCACCACAGCTATGCCAACCCAATCTCTGGTGCAGACACAGTGAGGTCAAGGAAAGAATTCTTCTGTTAACCTAGCTGTCATTGCTTGGGAAATTGGTGTTCCTACAGCAAAAGGAAAAACCCTTCCACTTCCGGTAGCTATGCCACTGTAGTGCCTGCAGTGTAGACAAGGCCTAAGCCTAACCTCAAAATACTTCAAGTACTGCTATACACTGTTTTGGATTCATTTATCAGTTAGTTTTGCCACTGCTAGATCAGCAAGGGTGAGGGAAATTATAACATTCGCTTAAGTACAATTTGAAATAGATTTTTTTCCTAATACAAAAATCTCCAATAAAGATAAGGACAAATGTCTAGATTAGGATATCTGTACCTTCCTCCAGCAATTTTCTCCCTGCTGCCTCTCACAGGGAGACCTCCTCTCCCTAGGCTCATTTTCTAGAGCAAGGGCAGAAGTTACAATCTCTCTCCCTCTTAAGATAGGCAATTTAGCTCCCTGGTGTTTCAAGGGAAGAACACTTCTAGACATTCAAATTGCCAAACTACATCTCTATGTCTCCACTAAGGAAAAGATGTGTTGTTTATAATGTGCCAACTAACAGGTTATAAAATCCTAAGTGTAGACAGGGCACGTTGCACTTTTAAGTTATCCCGCCCACACTAGGTTTTTACAAAACCTTAAAGCAGCTTTTTGGTTCTTAAACACAGATCTACCCTCCGATAGTAATTCTCACAACGCTGGTCACTAATCACCACATAACCTGGCGACTGCCAGAGAGGTCTCGCATGCACACAGGGGGGTCGCATGTAGTGGTGGTGAGGCGCAGCGAGGAGGGGGCACGGCAGTGACACGGAGGGGGGGGGTGTCTTCCCCACTCACCTGTCTTGAACACCAGCTGCTTGTCGTCCGGCGAGCCGAACTCCCTCAGCATGGAGACGAAGAGGACGCCGCACGAGTTCTGGATGCCGAACACGGCACCGTTGCACCACATGGCGGCCAGCATCACCGCCCAGCCCCAGCCGCCCTCGGGGGGCGCGGCCCCCTGCTGCCCCTCACGGGGACCCTCCACCAGCAGGGTGGACTGGCCGCCTGGGCACCCCTCTCCGTTCTCCTGCCGCGGCTCCCCGGCCGCCGCCTGGACGCCCTGCTGCTCCCGCAGCGCCGGGCTGGGAAAGCGGGTAGCAGAAGGGTCGGGAGCGCCCCCAACTCCCTGCGTCTCCAGCTTCTCACTCAGCGTCATCCCCGCAGGCTCCCGCGGCCGGGGCGAGAAGGACCGGAGACACCTGAGAGCAGGGGCGGCGACTTCTCTCTGGCTGCCTGAGGGGGCTGCTGCGCTCCCGCTAGCCCAGCGCGGCGGCTAGGACCATCCCGCGGCGCCGGGCGGGAAGCCCGTTTATTACTGTGCTGCCTTGGCGGTGCGGAAGCCGCTCCCGGCCCCGTGTCCCCCACGCTCCGCTCACACACGCCGGCCTCTGGCTCGCCAGGTTATTTTAAAGGGGCAGCTCTCGGGGGAGGGGGTGTCCGATAGCAGGATATCCCCCCCCTACCGCGGCTCCGATTGGATGGGGCAGGGTCGCGGCCACGCCCCCTCCCAGGATACAGTGGAGGCGGGGCTGCTGCGTGTCACAGGCGCCGGCGGCGGCTGTGCGGAGTGGCCGGGGCGGGGGCGCGCGGCGGGAGGGGGAGTCGAGAGTTAACGGTTGCGGCTCGCGCGCAGCAGGAGGGATCCTCCAGGCCCGCCCCCGCCAGTCCCGGGGGGGGGCGCTGGATTCACCTCAGGGTGGGAGGGAGAAATCAGGCCAGCAGCCTAGCAGGAGGGAGGCTGCTCGCCCTTCCCTCCCTCCCTCCCCCCCCCCACGAATTCCCAGGGGAAAGGCGATGCACCGCCCCGGGGTGCCCTGCTGTATCCGCCCCTGGGCCGCGAAAATCTCGGGCAGCAACGCCACGGACACGGCCCTCTTAACACTAACCCAATAGTTCCCCTCAGAAAATAAGGAAGTGCCAGAGCTGCCTCTGTGACCATGCACGTGCTTCGCTCTGACACTCCCTCTTGTCCCCACGCGTTGTGCCTCTGCCCGCCATGCTGCTTCCCATCCTCTCTAACTGGGCCCTCCCTGGCCTTTCCTGCCAGATTCCCGCCTCCTTCACGGCCCAGGAGAGAAGGCAGACGAGGCAGTCTCTTGGTATTTACCCTCCCTGTTGAAGAGCAGGGTTATGACTCCTCACTAGGGTCCCAGCTGTCAGCCGCACTATGGGTGCTACTGCCACAATACACAGCCTGGCTGCTGCTGCACGGCAGGGTGCAATACCACCTGCTGCACACAAGGAGCTAACTGCTAGCACTGTTACACACCCCTCTTTGGCAGGTGCTGCAGCTTCCTTGACCTACAATAACAGCTGCCACTTTTCCCTAGTCTGGATCTGGCCAGAGCAAAGCCATCTACCCCTGCTCTTATGTAAAATATCGAGACACCTCATGGGTGGCATGCAATAGTTCTCCTTAGAGCAAACGTGACACGATTTCGTACACAGGGAATTTTCCTATACCTCACTTCCCTCACCCACCTTCCTCCCAGGAATGGGTCAGGGAGAAAAGAGCAGAAGCCTGTACCTCTCAAGAAGGTGGCAGGGCATGGGAGCCAGTGTGGTGAGGTTCAGGAGAGCTAGGGAGTGCTGGAGAGAGTTTGGGCTGGAAAGGATGTGAAGTTGCTTGGAGGGGGTTGATGGATTGAACCTGGGGAGGGTTTCTTCTGGGCGGTTAGGAGAATGCAGTGGTTTCCCCCTCTTAAGCCTATCCCTTCTGTTTCTCCCAGTCATCCACTGCTGCCAGTTCTGCTCCCCACACTCTTACCTATGTCAGGTCTACACTTAAAACACTGCATTGGTGCCGCAGCAATACTTAAGTGAAGATGCTCTCCTGTCGGTGTAGTTAATCCAGCTCCATGAGATACAGTAGTTATGTCAACTGGAGAAGGTTTCCCCCCAACATAGCACTATCTATACAGGGGATTAGGCTACATCGTTCAGGGGTGTGGAGTTTTCGCACCCCCGAGCAGCATAGTTATATAGATTTAAGTTTGTAGTGTAGACCTGGCCCTACTCTTTATCCTCTATCCTCTGCCTCTACCTGCTTACCCCAGTCTCTCTCCCCTCCTTCTGGCCCTGGACCTTCTTCTCTCACTAAACTCCCTTGCTGGTGGGAGCTGCAGCAGATGGCTTCAGATGCCTCTGTTAGTAGCTGAATAAAGAGCTGCTACTGGATGCCATTTGCAGTGCGCAGTAAGTTTTATCAGTCCTACAACGCCCAAGAACTATTGTATGTATTCTTGAGCGCCATCCACTGGCACCTTAACTATTTACATATCTACAGATATTGAGCACTCCTGCATCAGCCTGTGACTCCTCTTTCCAACTGCTGCATGCATAGTTGCCAACTTTCATGCAGTAAATAAACACCCCGACTTTCACAATAAGCCAAAATTCAGATTAATCCCATTTCAAAACAAGGTCAAAACAAGCCAATTCTTAAGAATCCCAACATTCTATATGACTAGATCCCCCCGGCGTGCAGTCTGGGACTGTGGTGGGCACTGTGCACCCCTGACTCTCCCTCCCCCCCCCAACTTGCCCCTGCTTGCCCCCTTGCTGGGAGCCAATCAAAAAAAAAAAAGAAGAAGAAGAAGCTGCAAGCCAAACAAGCAATAAGACAAAAACCAGCCCAATTTCTGCATTTTTTTCGCGGGTTTGGTGTTTCTTGCAGCCTGGAGGGGGTTGCTGGTCAAGAGCAAGAGGTTTTGGGAGGCATCTGACCCAGAAGGTGTACAGGTTGGGTTGACAGGGTTTTGCATGAGTGGAGGGAATTGAAGTTGTAAGTGAATTAAGGTATGGCGAAGATAGAAAAGTGACTGAGACCGGGAAAGAACAATAAAGAAATCCTGGAAAGATATGTCCTGTTTTCTCTCAACCTGCCCTTTACAGTAAAGTGTCCTAATTTGTCCATTTTGAAAAGGACGAATGTAGTTGACCAGGAAGAGTGCTTTTCTTCCTCACCTTCATACCAATTTTTCTCTTCCCCCACCAAACCTTGTGGATACTGATAGTTGACAGCTTGGGTGCCACAGTGATGTCCTGTTTTTCAAACTTTGAAAATCTGAAAAACCTGTAGCAGGAAGGATATGGACAAATTTAAAGTTTCTACTGAAAAGACTACTGCAGGCTTAAAGCTGTTCAAAATAATTCATAATACAAAAGAGGCATCTGCATTATTATCTTTGTATACAAGCTGTTTAAGAACTTCCCTTCTAAAATAATTCACTCAGGCATAACGTAACTTGGCACTGAATAGATGAGGCAGGGACAAGTAGGGCATTTTGAAATCCTCTTTTTGGATCAAAATATAGCCTTATTTCCCCCATTTATTTGAATTCAGTTTTAGGTTTCACATGGGTGAGGACACAATTCTAGACTGGCCTTTAAACTGGCTGATTATATAGGCCCTGTTCTACAAAGCATTTAAACATATGCCCAACTTTAAGCATGTGGGTAGTCAGATTACCCATGTAATTTAAGTGTTTTGTTGAAATGGGGCCATGCACTGAATTGTCCATGTTCAGTTTAGTTTGGGGCAAGGACCACAACACATTCTTTTATTTGTGGACAGTGCTCAAATAAAATAATTCATTTTCCAAGCTTTCTTCACATGTATATCAAATACATTTGTCTGGTTATATTTTGGTGTTTCATATTTCTATTCTCTGAAACAATATCATTGACTACACCCATATTTTTCTCTAAAAAGAAATTATAAATATTTTCCACATTAGGCCTTCTAAAACCATGTGTGTGTGATTTTTATTTTGGTTTGTTATTTTAATAACTGGTTTGGTAAAGTTGTTCTTCTGATCAGGATCAAATCACTAGCTTTCCCTTCCTCACTATATTGTGGTGGATATCAAATTTGATTTTCCAAAAGCAAGATTCAGTTAACTAAAGAAGAGCTGCTGAGTTTAACAATGTAACATTATTTTAACATGTATTTTAGAAAACTACATATTAAAAGCATGATCATCAAGATACTAAAAATATACCTTTCTAATAATTTGTATTGTTCAACCCTGCAATACCGTACTGGGCTGCTGCTATTTGTCTTATTCTAAAATACTGTATAATTTATATTGTCAGAAGTTAGAATATACAGGCCCTTCCTTAAAATCTGACACAAAGTCATTCTAGAATTAGTAATGTGATCTATGTGGCAACTTTGTACCATTTGCTCTTGCGTACATTGTGCTACTATAAAATAACTCCTTCCTTCCAAGTCTGAGGATCTCAGTTATTTCTCTAGTAGTCCCAAATTGGTGAAAGGTGGTCCTCGCTTTGCTCTTGTACAACTAGATTATTCTCAGTCACCAACTTCAGCTGCAAATTTACTTCGCAGACTGAGTTTTGACAGGTTTGATCTCAGTCATTTTTAAGCTTTTTGTAATTCCGATAACTCAAAATAAAAATATTGGAGTTTCAGTTGATTTTCTTGCTATCAAAAAGGCATTTTTTTCAAGAGTGAAAATGCATGTGATTACTCAGACAAGACAGGAATGGGGAAAGGCCAGCCCGAGTGGAGACCTGGAGCTAATGGCCCCATTAGCTCCGTGGTTAATCCAGCCCAAGTAGCAGGTAGAAAGAGGAATTAGAAGCTGAACAAAAACACTACAAAGAACAGCCTTCAGTAGTAGGGACAGAGGCAACTACCTTGTCTACAAAAGAAAATTGTACTGATTTAACTAAATCTGTTTTGACAGTTAAAATTTAAAAAGTTAAAATAATTTAGAAACCATTTTAGTTGCAGTAAGTACAATTTCCTCCTGTAGACCAGGCCAAGTGAAGGAGAGGTAGAAAAGGAAATCATGTGAAAATGGATAGCCTGAGACATAAAAAGATTTTTTCCAAGGGAGAATATGAGTGGGAAGAGACCACAACCTAAAGAACTAAAATTAAACAAAAAAACAAAAAACTCAAAGTCCTCCGGAAGCTGAATCTAGATCATTGGGTTGACATGGTTAAGGCACATCAGTTTCCATAGCCAGTGGCACACAAGGGAGTTCTGTAGTTTGCACCACATCCAACTGCCTTTCACTGCCCTAACCCAATGGATCAGGTATCCACTTACAGCTGGGTGGACTGGAAGCAGCGTAATATCGAGCAAGACTCAAAACCATGACATCTGGGCTTATAGCCAAGCACCTGAACCACTCAACCACCATGCCTCACCAGAACTACAAAATTGTTTATTACAATATATCATGAACAAAACTCAAATTATAAACATGGGCATAAATCACATTTTACAAAAGACTCATTTCCACGTAACTCAAGAAAATAGCTATTTAGTCTTTCCTTCTTCCAGACTTAACAGTCCATCCTGTCTAGTCTATATCTGTCGTGTTTAGATTGTAAGCATTTTGGGACAGACTGACTGTATTTTGTGTCTTGTACAGCACCAAGTATAATATTGGATTTAATACGTACTTACTTATTTATACATTTTAATAATTAAAAAACTAATTAAAACTAGATCTTTCTTAATGTTTTGGTAAGATAGGTTTGATTTTTTAAAATACTTTGATATTCTTG